GTAAGGAAAGCATGGAAGTAGGAAGACAATTGGGAGGCTACCAGAAGAATTTAGGCAAGGGATGACAGTGACTTGAACCACTGTGACTGAGTAGGAAGCAGGTAGAGATCATTAGATTCTGGATATATTATTAAAGATTTAATGATGGACAAACTATAGATATGAGAGTGAGAAAAAGTCAAAGCTAACTCCAAAGTTTTTTTACTTCAAAAACTCAAAGAAGGATGTTGCTACTTATAGAAATATGGGAAAATGTGAGAAGATAAGGTTTGATTTAAAGAACAAACAACCCAAGCAAGGAAACAAAAGCAAAAATAAACAAATGGGCCTACATCAAACTAAAAAACACAGCAAAGAAAACCATCAACAAAATGAAAAGGCCACCTGTTGAATGGGAGAAGATATTTGCAAACAATATATCCGATAAGGAGTTAATATCCAAAGTATACAAAGAACTCATATAACTGAATGTCAAAAAACCAAACAACCCAATCAAAAAATGAGCAGAAGAACTAAACAAACATTTCTCCAAAGAAGACATACAGATGGCCAATAGGCACATGAAAAAATGCTCAATATCGCTAATTATTAGAGAAATGCAAATCAAAACTATAGTGAGGCATCACGTCACAATGGTCAGAATTACCATCATCAAAAAATCTACAAATAATAACTGCTGAAGAGGATGTGGAAAAAAGAGAATACTCTTTTATTGTTGGAGAGAGTGTGAATTAGTGCAGCCACTATGGGGAACAGCAGTTTTAGTTAAAAAACTAAAAATGGAGTTATCATATGATCCAGCAATCCCACTCCCAGGCATCTTTTAGCATAAAAAAAAACAACGAACTATTGATACACACAACAGCCTAGATGAATCTCCAGAGGATTAATCTGAGTTAAAAAAAAAATCCCAACAAGTTATATATCACAAGTAAAGTGTTTTCCCGTAGAGTGCAGAATGGAGATATATATAGAGAGATATATATATATATATCTCTAAAATTATTGAAATGACAAAATTATAAAAATGAAATACAGGATGTTGGTGTCTATATGCCAGGAATACTGATATAGCAAAAGACAACCATAAATGAAGGAGACAGTGGTGGCAATGAGAGATTGCTTACATACAGGAACACTGATTGAACAGTAAATATATTAAGGATAATGGAATTAGATTTCTCATTGTTGGAGAAAGAAACAAACATGGACAGGTAGAAAATTAGCATGAACCCTATGGTACTGGATTTTAACTGGAGGTGCTGGTGAACTCATGACTTTCAACATATATAGATGTAAAGAAATAAATTAAGATTTAAATATGTGAATGTGTGTTTGTGTACATATGCATATACATATCCCTAGCTCTGCCCACTAAGAGGGCCTAGAAGCAGCAGCACACTGATAATAAATTGCACATTTAACACTGTGACCTTGTCTTGTAAATACCATTCCCCACTAAAGAAAGCAGGGTTACTTGGGGGAAATAGCTGAACCCAGAACTGGTGCAGGGAAACATATACAATGAGGTTGAAAGATCATTTTTTGTCCGAAGGAAATGATAGCAATAAATCAAAAGAAAACAGAAATCAGATTGAAGTAATTAGCTAAATTTGTGACAATTTGGCACCAAAATAAACATTAACCGAATTGAATCAAATAGAAATCAAGAATCTATATTGATATAAATAGCAAGCAAATAATTAAGTAAGTAAATAAATAAATTGAAACTTTGACGTGGAGTAAGATATTTGTTTTGTTTTGGAATGAGATATTTTTAAATTGATTGCAAAAATTCAGCTCTTAAACTGAAAAATCTTGCAGTCTTTTGCAGGGGATGTAGTTTACTGTGAGAACTCTAGGATTTCTCTGGCCTGCACATTTTATCAGTTCATCCATGTAGTAGCTGACTAGTGATGGGGAAAATGAAGTGGGAGGAGTATGGAATGGCTCCTGTGTGTCATATTTGAGTGCCCAGATACTATTAATTGATGGTGGTAAGATACAAGAGAGAGAAAGTTGAGGACAAAGGAAGACAATGGATTAAATTTAGATTTTACATTGAGGATGTTTAGCATATATATTTCACTGGCTTGACACTCAGAGGAGAATCTAGCACTTAAATAGCTAACCACATGAGTGGATTACTCATTGAAAGAGGCTGGAGAAAGAAAAAAGCATTTAGCCTATGGCAGAAACATGGCTTAATCAGATATTTAGGAAAATCTTAATGCTGTCTGGAATAGCAAGTACAATTATTACCAAATATGGAAAGCAAAATATTAAAATTTCAAAAAATTAGAAACTACCAAAATGTCAACAAAAAGTAGAATTTAATATTGTAGCACTTAAGATGTTATAATTAAAAATGTTATTTATGAAACTTTATAATAACATAAAAATGTTTATGATAGTGGGTGTTTTTCTTTTAAAGCAGGTATTATTTAAGCAATGTAAAAATAGGTATAGCAAAATCTGGAAAGAGATGCATCAAAATGTTAGCAGTAATTATTTTGAAGGCAGGAATCTATTAGATTCTTCCTTTTATTTTTCCTTACCTTTCCAGTTCACTAAATAATACTTTCTAATACTGAAAACAGTCACAAAAAAAAGGATTGTCTTCCCTCTTAAGATAAACATGGCTACCATTACTGATAAACCCAGAACCTGGACGTACAGCAGGCCCACAATAATCCATGAATGTATCAATACCTCCAACTAAAGCATGTTACCTGAGATTTTCTGCTTCCTAAAAAGCTTGCAGTCCTTTCTGCGGGAGAGCCTCATGTTATGCTGTCCTGGATCTTGCAGGGCGTGACAAATCATTCTGCCTCTACCCTGTCTGTCCACTGACATTAATGCCTTGATAGGCTTTTACCTGGGGCTCCAACAAACCACTCTTATTAGACTCACTGATGAGTCCTAGAGGGAATTAAATTTCTGGTTGGCTCCTCTGAAAACAACCACCCTAGGACTGTGAGTATCCTTCTCAGTCACTGGTCCTGCAGAGAATCAGAGGTGACTTGTTAATTTAGCGTTTGGACTGGCACCTTGACGTCTCACCGTCCTTCTGACCTGTGCAGAAGTGCCACTTCCAAGGCACTGGGCTCTCTGGGGGCTGGCAAGGCCCACGTGGTTAACTGCAGCGGGGCCCCCAGCCCATTCCTTAACATCAGCCCTTAACACCATTCAAACTCTTGTCTGTTCCAGTTCTCAGGGCCAATCCATTACTACATACTAGCATCTCCGCACATCATGGACGAAATCTGAGACTTGGGTCACTTGTGCAAGCCCAGGCAGCCAGTGGAAAGTGTAGCCTTAACAGTCGTCAAATTTGGCACTAAATTTGTTACTAAGATCACCTCCACAGAGTTTCTTGAGTGCCCACCACGCGAAGGGGGCGGATGTCCGACAGGCGCAGCCCGATCCCCAGGGCTTCCGAGGCGGCTTGGTGTGGTGGCTCACACTCAGGGGCTGAGAGGCCGCGCGGCCCACAGGCCGGAATGGAAACGGCAGACAGAGGCAAAGACTCTTCAGGCACGGCAGAAGGGATCCAAAACCTTTCGTTATAACCTGCCTTTGAGTTAAACCTCGACTTTTGTCTTCCAGAAGCGACAGAAACAGGAGCCAGTAGCCTGAGGTGAAACGTCAAGCAACCTGCCCGGGGCGGTCGCCATTACAAAGCAAAATGCCACTGCTTCTCAGGCCCCGCCCATGAACGTGATTCCCGCCCCTGAACGGGATTCCCGCCCCTGAACGGGATCCCATCCCCAGAGCACACTGGGTACAAATCCCTTCTTTTTCCGTTTCTCCAGGGGTTTCTGAGCTCCACTGCACACTCGCCGCCGTCGCCGCCGTGATGAGGTAAATGCTGTCTCTGTCCTCTGGGATGGTAGATAAATAAGCCAGATATGTTCCACATGGTGTGAAAAGTGTTGTGAATTAAAAAGTAAGGACAGATCGCACTGTGGGAGGATAGTGCTATCAAGCTAAGTATCCTGAAGAGATTTCTCTCAGGAGCAGCTCTTCCTGTTCTTCTAGGTGCTCGTACAAGCAGGGAGACCTCATTGTTGAATTCAAAATGTACCTTCCAGACAGATTAGCACCTCATGTATAACAGATTCTTCAACCAGACCCACTCAGTTCCTAGACCCTGCCCTGGCCAGCCCAGTGTCCATAGCTGCAAAACCCATCCATACACACCCCACTCAGTGATCATCCACCTGTGAGACACTCTGGACTCAGCAACTTTTTCTAAAGGAAAGTAAGTCATTATTTTCAGGAAAATATTCATATCCCTTGTCCTTTTCAGAATTACAAATTCAGTCTTCCCTACTGCTCCAGTAAGGGTAGAGGAAGGGGAAGGGCAAAGTGTTACCCACTTGCATTAGGGTAAGGTAAGGGATGGGGAACATGGCCCATCACCACAAACTTCACAAGATACAGAAGGGCTCTTAGGAGCAAGTGACATTTATTCCTCACTAAGAGACCAAGAAAAAGATTTCTCTCTACCACTAACCGTAAGGACTAAACATCCTCCAAAACTCTGAGGCAACAGAGGTGAATTCTGGTTATATTATGCCAGAGTATCTCATCCCACCCTATAGCTATATATAGTGCAGGATAGTTTGAGATTAGAGTAAAGAGATAGTTTGAGGCAAGTTCTGGACTTTAAGGGTTTTTCTCATTTTGGAAAAGCCTGAAAATTTTTAGAGTAAAGGTTTTGTACTTTTTATAGAAAAATAAAGTTTTTTTAAGTACAGGACATCTGAGCAAGATCAAATAAAGGACCCCAAGATAAAACTGAGAAGGCCACTGTCAGGATCCCTGCAAGGAACTGGTCATCTTTTAGAAGCCAAGAGAGGAGATCAGTATGAGCTGAACTATACCTCTTCCTTTCCCTACACACAAGTCCCAGGATACCCGAAACCCATGCCCCCAGTGCAGTACACAGAGAATGCTAATGTTTCTCTATTAGAAGGAACATTTATTGAGGAGGATCAATATTCTCGGTTGTATACTAAAGAAAAATTGTTCTCATCAGAAGATGTGTTATCATGAAATCTGCAAGTTTTTTCAAGGACTGAATGAGTTCTATGGGGAAATTTTTTCTCCCTGGAAGTGCTGGAGAAGCAATTTCGGTTTGAATAGAAGACTCAAATCTCTGAACACAGTGCCTTTATCAGGGGTGAGAGTGGCCGAAGGGACCTGGCATTCTTCGTGCATGCAGGTGGGGCTTGGATGGAGTACAGGCTCCCTGGACGACAGGGAAGAGGGTTGAGTCTGGCATAATACCTGGTCTTCAAAGGCCACAACTTTCTGGTGATGTCTGATCCTGTCTCTGTTCTGTCTGACACTTGTAAGACAACTCTGGTCAGCAGAAACATCTTCTTGGTTAGAGGACTTGGTACTTGCCCATTCCTCTTGCTGTGAGTCAGAGAGATCCCCACAGTTGAAAGGATGTGCCTGGTCAGGTTCTCCCTGGGTCTGAAGTTCCTTCTTGTGCTGACTTAACTCCGAGGTCTCAGATTCGAACCTATGTGCCAGTTTCTCCTCTAGGATCTTCCCAATGGCTGTCATGAGCTCCTGAGCTTCAGGAGGCCCATAATTCACAAAGACAGCTGCACTTTCAACTGAGTCTTGATGCTGCACAGAGGTTGACATGAATTTGGCTTTTTGCTGGGGACTTTCCTGGTCTTTGATTTTTCTTTTACAATCAATCCACTGAAAAAATTGCCTCATCTTTTTTTTGAAGTAACTTTCAGGAGGAAGCTGTTCATTCTGTGACAGAGATGGGGAAGTGTCCTTTAATTCTTGGTTCTCAACAGGGTGGCTCTTCTTTCTGGCTTTAGATGTCCCTTTTCCTGAATCCTCACTTCTGTATTCCCCTGCTTTGGAGCCCAGAGGTCTCACTCTCTTATCTGGGCACTTCCATAAGACGTGCTTAGAGGGATCCCGCCACTGCTCTGTGCTGATCCCGCTGTCCTCCAGGTGGACATGCAGCACCTGGGAAGCCGCTGTGTCCCCACTGGAGATACCCTGGGCATGAGTCAGTGAAGACTTGGAAGGCAAGCTGTCTGAAGTCAGGGGCATGTCAGTGGGACAGTGTTGAGCCAGGCTATGCTTCTCACTCTCCAGTTTAAACTTTAACTCACTGAAAAGCTGTTTGTGCAGGTCTGATACTTTAGAGTCTTGAGGAACAAACATTTTTGGTGAGGGAAATTGAGTGGTCAGAGTAGTTTCTACTTTATTTGTATTGACATTTGTCATTTGGGAGCTTTCCAACTTGCTGGTTGTCAAGATGTCACAAGATCGTGATTTAAGAGCACACAGCTTCTTGGCCTTGAATGTCTCACTGGGCATGTTGGACATGAAAGAATGTTCTAAATTCTTCTCCCACATCTTTTGGCCCTGAATCATTTCCACTCTATCACTGGAGTTCACATTCTCATCCCTTGGCTCATGTCTACCCCCAGCTTGCCTTATGGGCACCTCTGAAGTGCATCTGTTGTCTCGTACAGTCTCCCTCTGACTCACTTTGTCTTTGTCTCTGTGTGTGAGGAGCTGAAAAGTCTGTCTGCCACGCTCAATTGTCTGGATGTTTCCTGCAAGCTTCTGGTCGATATCAGAGTGTGATGGTTGCAGAGTCCCCTGTCCTTCATTGCCCACAGATGAGATAACAGGGAGAGGACGATCCAGCATGGTGACTGAATTTGTAGTTCTTACCTTGCTTCCCTGAGAAGTTTTAGAGCTTCCTTCAAGGAGCTTGGAAACCTCACCTTTGGAATCCACCCCAGAAATATGGATGGTTGAGGAGGGAAAGTCAAACTGGGGGAGAGGCCATGTTTTGGTTTCTCTCAATATATAGAATTTTATGGATTCAAGAACCTTGAGAGGCAGTCCCCACCTCTGACTCACACGAAACCTTAAAATATGGGCTTCGAGTACTTTTAGGGTATTGGGATCAAGAAAAGAAAGCTCTAGAGTGCTAATCTGGCTGTAGACCTTACCTACCATTGTGTTTTTTGAATTTGTGTCTTCCATATTGGTCTGAGAACTCCCGGAAAGAGGCCATGTACTGTCATCAGCCAGCCATGAACGACACACACCTATAGGAATCCTACCCGCAGTGATCTGCCAAGACTTCGTGCTCACATGTAATCTAAGAATGGTTTTTGTTTGATTCCAGTCTGTGTCCTTCCTTGAGACATTTAATAATTCATTCCCCAGGTGATTCCTTGAGTGACACACACAGTTACTTTTTGTCTCCAAGGCAGCCCTTAGATTGTGTACTAGGTAGCATCCTGAAACCCTTTGTGGGCTGTCTTCTGGGCCCTTCTCTAAAATATACCCAAGATTCTTCCTCATGTCATTCCTTAGCTGAAACTGTGTTGGAACCCTCTCATGAAAACTTCCTGGGAGACCTAACTGACTTTTCCCTACATCGTTTCTACTCTGGCCCTGAAGCTCAGAGAGTTGTAAGTGAACATGTGTGCTTTTCTGCTGAGGTACTTCTGTTAATTTACACTGAGGCACCGTCAATGTTGTTGACTCTAGATTCCTACAGGCTTGGAGATACCAGCGAGGAATTAGTCTCCTTGGAACATGGAGCTCCAATTTTTCCTGGGGTTCTCCTGGGATAATATGAAAATGGCCAGGAAGGATGGAGACTGGTACATAGGTGTGGGGAGACCGGCTGACTAATGGGAGGTTGGGAGCTTGAGGACAAGTGGCTTCTTGAGATTTTTGGAGCACAGGAACTAAACCGCAGAAACTTCCCTTCTGTTTCTGCAATACATGCCGTTCCAGGTATTGATTTTCAGTTGCAATGTGAAAGTCTGACTCATTCTGGAATCTATGGAAAGACACTCCACAGTCCCCAACCTGGGATGGGGAAGACGGTAGAATTGGGAGTCGGGATTGAAGGTGGACCTGGGGCCAGACCTGACTGAAAATTAGGGGCTGGGATTGGGGCATAGTTTGAGGCAAGGGTTGCGGATGTACACTGGGGAGGGGGCGGGGGTGAGAATGAAGAAGTGGCGAAGATTCTTGATCCTGCATTTTGACTGCAGAAGTATTATAGATTCCGTTGAATAAGATGAAATGAGGCTCTAGTGGGAAACCACGACTAGAAACCAGGAGAGTAGCCACTAGGGACTCACTGTGCAAGGAGGGAAGACCCCAGAAGAGCTGGTGATATTTCTGTGGCAAATTTTCCCCCAAAGTCTTGACATATGGGAGCTGCTGACAAATGTGCAGCTGCTCTGATTTGCTTTCAGTATTCCAGCCAGCTTGGAGGGCTGTACTATCCTGTGTGTCAAGCGACTGCAGTGAATTCTCTGAAGATGTCTGTTGGTACTCAGACCACATTTGTTTTGAGAATGATGCCTCTTCCTTCTCTTTCTTCTCTAAATGCTGGAAGGCCATTTTCTTTTTTATTTGTCTCTCCAAGAGTTCCTGGATATTAAGGCCAAGGAAAGAATGGCTCATTGCCTCCATGTGCTTGGTAATAGAGTCTCCCCAGAGACAGGTCTCTGGTATATGGAAGGAAACAGGCTCACGCTGAAAATCAGAGTGTGATAATGTGGGGAGAAACACGGTGTTGGCATGAGCCTGCCACCAGGAGAAGTCTGAAGTTGACAGACTTGAATGATCAGTGCCTCTGATTGTTGGAACACAAGCGGACAACCCAGCAGGGCTATCTGGAGGTGATTTCTCCAAAACAGGTTTCAG